GTTAGTTTAGGTTAGGTTAGGTTAGGTTAGGTTAGGTTAGGTTAGGTTAGGTTTGATTAGCATTGATTAGCAACATAAATATAAAAAAATTCCGGTTTGTCCAAATTTAATAATACAAAAGTCTACTTTCTATTATTCCATCATGTCCATATTTGTAAGATCGATCATATCGTTACCATAAGTGCTTTCATTTTAGGAGGGTGGGCCTCTCAACACTCAACCAACTGAAGGGTAATCACCTAAGTGTAATTACCTAAGTGTAGTTACAGGATGAGAGCTACGCTCGTGGTGTCCCGTCTTCCCAGGACTCTTTGTCATATAACGCTTTGAAACTACTGACGGTCTTGGCCTCCACCACCTTCTCCCCTAACTTGTTCCAACCGTCTACCACTCTGTTTGCGAAAGTGAATTTTCTTATATTTCTTCGGCATCTGTGTTTAGCTAGTTTATATCTATGACATCTTGTTCTTAACGTTCCAGGTCTCAGGAAATCTTCCCTATCGATTTTATCAATTCCTGTTACTATTTTGTATGTAGTGATCATATCACCTCTTTTTCTTCTGTCTTCTAGTTTTGGCATATTTAATGCCTCTAACCTCTCCTCGTAGCCCTTGCCCTTCAGTTCTGGGAGCCACTTAGTAGCATGTCTTTGCACCTTTTCCAGTTTGTTGATGTGCTTCTTAAGATATGGGCACCATACAACTGCTGCATATTCTAGCTTTGGCCTAACAAAAGTCGTGAACAATTTCTTTAGTATATCGCCATCCATGTATTAAAAAGGGTGTGAAAGACTTGGTGTAATTCTTTACATAAATTTCACAAATACATAATTGTGGGTTTTATCCTATATTATTTTGTCTGTGAGAAGACATTACCATTACTTAATAAATATAATAATAGAAAATGTGTGTTTGTCTGTCCGTCTGTCTATTTGTCCAAGGTTGGAGACCACACGATTGCGTCTAACCTTACTTAACGTTGCAAGGGAAATGGTCTGGAGTACGGAACGGACAGAGGCTGGTCGGTGCCGGCCTAAATTAATTACTTTAAGAAATATTACCATTTATAGAGACTGCCATGTGATTTTCATGGAATCGAGAGTGTGAAATATTTGGTGTATTTTCCGTGGATTTTTCATTGGGAATGAAGACCAGAAGAGAAGTGGGAAGAAAAGGGGAGGGGGAAAGAGGGGAGGGAGATAGGGTGAGAGGAAGGGAAGAGGGGAGGGTGGGAAGAAGGGGAGATCGACGGAGAGAAAAAAGGGGGAAGGGTAGAAAGAGGGAGAGGAATAGGGAGGGGAAAGAGGGCAGGGAAGATGAGGTAAGGATGTGTGTAAGGAAGGGGGGAGAGAAGAGGGATGGGATGGGGGAAGACAGACTGACCTGGGCACCACCGGGTACCCCTTAAAGCATCTATAAAAGCCAATGTCTGTCGGTCCAAGGCTAGAGGCCAGAAGTTTGGGGTCTAGGCTCACTGAACTGTTGAAACTGCTACACGGGTGGTACAGAAGTGTTAGAGGCCAGTCAGGGTCCGCTCCACTGCCAAGCTTTATAAAATGTCAACTTCTTTTTTTCATGAAGTCTGAAATCGGGGGTTTGTTCTCCTTAAAGATTTTTAGCAGTTTTCACCCATTCGTAATATTTAATGTTATGAGGGAGAGGAAGAAAGAGAGAGAAAGGGACATTTAACTCCTGAGACACATACAAATAAGATAACGTCAGCAGTGTACTTTACGCTAACAAAAGTTAGAACATCATTTAATTAGGACCTAAATAAGGAGGCATTTAGAGCACTTTACACCTCACACGCGAGACCAGTCTTAGAGTATACAGCCCCATCATGGAACCCCAACCTAAATAAACACACAAGGAACCTGGAAAGGGTTCAGAAGTTTGCGACGAGGCTCTTTCCAGAATTGTGAGGAATGGAGGGGGGGGGGGATATGAATGACCACTGAAGGAACTGAATCTGACGACGCTAAAAAAAAAGGAGAGAGAAGATGGAAATATGATAGAGACATATAAAATACTTAGGGCACTGACAGGATGGAAATGGAGGGACTGTTCACAAAGGGGCATGGATGGAAGCTGGAGACACAGATGAGTCATAGAGATGTTAGAAAGTTTTCATTTAGCAAAGGAGTAGTGGGAAAATGGAATGAGGCACAGGGGCATGCAGGTTGTGGAAGCAAATTACACTCATAATTTTAAAATTAGATATGATAGGGAATTAGGACAGAAGTCATTCCTTTAATTCACTGTGTCGGGGGACAGGAGGCCAGAGTGTATTCATACACGTTTGTTTTTATGGAGAGCCCCCCCCCCCCACAAAGGCCGAGTTACTGACCCGCCCAGGATGCAACCCCACAACAAGCTGACTAACTCCTGAGTACCTACTCACTGCTAAGTGAACAGAGGCATTAGGTGAAAGGAAAAGTGCCCAACCATTTCTGTCCCACCCGGGATTCTCGACTGTGCATCGATAACGAACCCGACTGTTGTTGTTGTTGTTATAGATTCAGCTACTCGGATCAAGTTCCAAGTAGCACGGGCTATGGTGAGCCCGTAACTTACCTGGCACAGGAGCGGGGCAAGTAGCCCGGGCCATGGTGAGTCCGTAGTGGATTTACCTGGCACAAGAGCGGTGCTGAGACTGTGTTCGACTGACTCGATGATCAACCCGACTGTACTACTGGCACTCTTTAAACAACCAACGGCTAGAGAGGCGAGGTCCAAGAGCTAATCCTCAATCCTGCAGGCACAAATAGGTGTGTACAAGTGGGTGAGTACACCAGTGGACGTGTCATACAGGTGCAGATACACCTGCACCTACACCTGGATGAACACGTGTACACTCACCTCGTCTGGTCGTTTCTGTCTCCGATGTATAAGCTGACCGACCACATTAGTATCTGGCCGCTAAATGCATCATAGCGATGCAGATAATTATATTAATTCCGCGTGAATAAAACAAGAATAATTACCATCCTCTCAGCTGTAGCCACGGACCTCTCATTGGAGGATCATGAGATAGCCAGAGTACCGGCGTCACCATCTTCCATTGTGGTCTGGCATCCCTTATTTTACCCTTATTTGGCATCTGTTTTACCAGTGCCAGCCTAATACAGAGAATATATTGCTAGTGCTAGCAACAAGGCTGAGATGGTATTGTCAGTGCTAGCAACAAGATACTGTAGTTCGAATTTTGTTCGAACTACAATGCTATAAATGCAGCCCGTCCTCCAAACAAAGATCCAAAAGTGATTCCATGCACCCGCCAAACCCCCTGTTTATGAATGAAAAGCGGTTTACACACGACTCACAACTGCTGACGTTCGAACATATCCGGAACAAGTGTTTCACTGACGAATTTTGTTCGAATCACAACGCTATAAATGCTTCACCCACGTACTACAAATACAAATAATCGCCAACAGAACCTAAACACCTAACCTATGCCTATATATGCACAATATGCTAATATATTATAATATTAATTTATACTTGAGAAAATTCCCGTTTTGAATGAACAACATATTAAAATTTATGAATGCGTCTGTGGGGTCGACCGCTGGATGTAATGGACTTGAGTCGAGGACGGGTTGAAATAATCACCAACAGAACCTAAATACCTAACCTCAGCCCGTCCTCCAAACAAAGATCCAAAAGTGATTCCATGCACCCGCCAAACCCCCTGTTTATGAATGAAAAACGGTTTACACACGACTCACAACTGCTGACGTTCGAACACTTCCGGAACAAGTGCTTCACTGACGAATTTTGTTTGAACCACAACGCTGTAAATGCTTCACCCACGTACTACAAATACAAATAATCGCCAACAGAACCTAAACACCTAACCTAACCTATCCTATGCCTATATATACACAATATGCCAATATATTATAATATTAATTTATACTTGAGAAAATTCCCGTTTTGAATGAACAGCATATTAAAATTTATGAATGCGTCTGTGGGGTCGACCGCTGGATGTAATGGACTTGAGTCGAGGACGGGTTGCATCAGTCAGCCTGTCCTTCAAGCAAAGACCCAAAAGTGATTCCATGCATCCGCCAAACCCCGTGTATGAATGAAAAACGGTTTACACACGACTCACAACTGATGACGTTCGAACAATTCTGGAACAAGTGCTTCACTGGCGAATTTTGTTTGAACCACAACATTAAATGCTTCACCCACGTACTACAAATACAAATAATCACCAATAGAACCTAAACATCTAACCTAACCTATGCCTATATATACACTATATGCTAATATATTATATTATTAATTTATATTTGAGAAAATTCCTGTTTTGTCTGAACAGCATGTTAAAATTTATGAATGCGTCTGTGGGGTTGACCGCTGGATGTAATGGACTTGAGTCGAGGACGGGTTGCATACAGTTGTGATTCGTATGTAAAACTCTTCATTTATTAGTAGCGGGTTTGATGGGTGCAGCATTTGGCCTTTGTTGATGAGAAGACGTGTATTATTTTTAGATATATTTCAAACGAGAAACAAGCACCTTCCTCTCCTCCAGCACAGTTGTTGACGTGTGGTATCGTCTTTGAAACAAATGCCCAACGCTTGTGCTGTAAGGATATTAACTCAATTTATAAATATTCACAATTACCAAATATAAAACTTGAAATATACTCTTCCTATTGAGCTTTAAGTCATGTATACCTTCAAGAAACTGTGTAAAGAGAGCTAAATCTCAGTGAAGAAAGACGAAGTCGGTGCCAGGGTTGCGGGATAAACAGTTGACGTTGCGTATATGCTTTCCTCTAGTATTGCCAAATTTCAGTGTCAGTATCTAAATATATAACATTGAGCCGCGTAGATTTACAAACGTACATGCATGTTACTTTATTAATATAAACAATCCTATGTATTAAACTAAATATTTATTTCTTCAGTTAATAATGAAATAAGGAATAACTGAGCGTTATTAGGGAGAGTAGTGGCACCAATGTTGTCATGGAGTTACCCATGATGCCTCAGTTTACGTGTCAGCGATAACACTGACGACGGGTCCCAACCATCTCCACGCCAATACGGGACAAACATCGCCCACTCTCTCTCTCCCGCCACATTACTCTTTAAATGGTGTGAGGTTCTACGATATCGGTTTTGAATCCCTGAGAGCATCAGGAGCAAGAAGGGAGAGGCAGCAGCCATGTTGAGGAAGGTGTTGGTTTGTGTGATGACGGTGGTGGCGGTCCAGGCCTTCTACCTCCCCGGCCTCGCTCCTGTTAATTATTGCAAAAAAGGTAACGACGAGGAAGCCAAGTGTCAGGTGAGTGTCAGTTTATGTGGCGAGATTATTGACGGGCTGACAACCGATGGATTATCTTGACATAATTGACAATTTTGTTGAAAATAAAGTTTTCTTTCAAACTTATTTGTATTGCACATGACCTCAAATTAAAAATGAATAATATACATACATGCATACATACGCGTACATAGATTTATATATTTATATGCAATACAGCTTTTGGCAATTAATCATTGACAAAAAAAACACTGAAGCATTAGGAGACAACCAAAATGGGATAAATTTTGCAAACACATAAAATATGACCAAGTAGTGATAACTAATAAAAAGAGGTCCAGAGAAATAATAGGATGCAATGTAATGGATATACTTCTAGTTAATTTTTTTTACAAATGCTGTAGATTGTAAAAATAACTATAGTCCAAACAAATTCTAGTCTGTGCATAATGAAAGGCATTATACATGTCACTCATTTTCATATTGAATAGACAAAGTACAAAACACAGCTTTGTGTTATCCTTGAAAGACTATTCCAAAATTGCAACAAAATTTCTTTGTTAGAAGATGCTGAAAAACTACATAAATCTTGTGTGTGTGTGTGTGTGTGTGTGTGTGTATATATATATATATATATATATATATATATATATATATATATATATATATATATATATATATATATATATATATATATATATATATATATATATATATATATATATATATATATATATATATATATATATATATATATATATATATATATATATATATATATATATATATATATATATATATATATATATATATATATATATATATATATGTCGTACCTAGTAGCCAGAACTCACTTTTTGGCCTACTATTCAAGGCCCGATTTGCCTAATAAGCCAAGTTTTCATGAATTAATATATTTTTTCTAATTTTTTTCTTATGAAATGATAAAGCTACCCATTTCATTATGTATGAGGTCATTTTTTTTTATTGGAGTTAAAATTAACGCAGATATATGACCGAACCTAACCAACCCTACCTAACCTAACCTAACCTATCTTTATAGGTTAAGTTAGGTTAGGTAGCCGGAAAAGTTAGGTTAGGTTAGGTTAGGTAGGTTAGGTAGTCGAAAAAGCATTAATTCATGAAAACTTGGCTTATTAGGCAAATCGGGCCTTGAATAGTAGGCCAAAAAGTGAGTTCTGGCTACTAGGTACGACATATATATATATATATATATATATATATATATATATATATATATATATATATATATATATATATATATATATATATATATATATATATATATATATATATATATATATATATATATATATATATATATATATATATATATATATATATATATATATATATATATATATATATATATATATATATATATATATATATATATATATATATATATATATATATATATATATATATATATATATATATATATATATATATATATATATATATATATATATATATATATATAATATTTTTAAAATATATAAATAAATGAATACAATATATAGATATTGTATCTAACATTTTCCACTGGGCTACAAAATGCATGATATTCACAAGTGATAGTCCAGAACTATACTTAAGATATGGGGGAAAGAAATTGAAAAAATTAACTTAAAACACTACAAAATTCAAGGTGCATTCGGATCTTCATATTGAAGGAAACGTATGTTAAGAATTTAGGAATGTCATGTAACCCAACATTTAGTGAGCCTAATAAACATTGCATCAGCCAGGGAAATGTAAATAAATTTTTCAAGATATTAACTAGCCCTGTAGTTGAGAGAATGTAATAGACATCTTGCAAGTTGTGAATACTTTCCAGGGGTAATGGTAAAGAAAAACAAGTTTTCCTACAACCTTTCCTGGGACCCAAGTGATCCATTCTATGAGTAAAGAGCTTTCAAATCAAGGGATCCCACCACAAAACTTTTCACATTTTATTTTCCTACCTTGAACACTGTGCTCTTCCCTTTTTAAAGCAGAAGAAAGAAATTGAAAGAAATTATTTCATAAAAAAAGATGAAATTTATTTCATAGAAGAAATTGTATATGTATGTGATTCATCGACAGTACAAATCTACATTGCTGTAGCCATCTCAAGTAGTCAAGATGTGATCTTTGGAAAAGCGATGAGATATATTGCATAATATATACATGGAAGATGCGAACAAGCCTGAATGGTCCCCAGGACAATATGCAACTGAAAACTCACACCCCAGAAGTGACTCGAACCCATACTCCCAGGAGCCACGCAACTGGTATGTACAAGACGCCTTAATCCACTTGACCATCACGACCGGACAAAATGAGGTGATAGCCGAGGCTATTTGAACCACCCCACCGCCGGCACTCGGATAGTAATCTTGGGCATAGCATTTTACCAAATCACCTCATTCTTTGGGGCACGCGTGAGGAACACAAATGTGAACAAGCCTGAATGGTCCCCAGGACAATATGCAACTGAAAACTCACACCCCAGAAGTGACTCGAACCCATACTCCCAGGAGCCACGCAACTGGTATGTACAAGACGCCTTAATCCACTTGACCATCACGACCGGACAAAATGAGGTGATAGCCGAGGCTATTTGAACCACCCCACCGCCGGTACTCGGATAGTAATCTTGGGCATAGCATTTTACCAAATCACCTCATTCTTTGGGGCACGCGTGAGGAACACAAATGCGAACAAGCCTGAATGTGTTCCTCACGCGTGCCCCAAAGAATGAGGTGATTTGGTAAAATGCTATGCCCAAGATTACTATCAGAGTGCCGGCGGTGGGGTGGTTCAAATAGCCTCGGCTATCACCTCATTTTGTCCGGTCGTGATGGTCAAGTGGATTAAGGCGTCTTGTACATACCAGTTGCGTGGCTCCTGGGAGTATGGGTTCGAGTCACTTCTGGGGTGCGAGTTTTCAGTTACATGGAAGATATTTGGAGATAAGGTCTAAGACATCCACAGAAAAATAAAAATTTATAGGAGTGAAACATTTGGTAGGATATGTTGAATAGACTCTGTAAAGAGTAGAGGTTCATAGCAACAATTGGAAAAAATATATGAAAATGAGAGGCCCAAAGCATTTTTGCCAAATCTAGTGTAAGAAATATTGTTGGCAAGTAAGTGGAAATTTTCTAAAGGAAATTGGAAAATTTTCAGGTAGTGCTAGATAAATTGGGTTCCAATGAATATTGGATTGGGTTCCAATTATTTGGGTTCCAATGAATATCCTAGCTGTCCTTGGAGAGTAGAAGTCCTCCCAAAACTAACTGTATTGACTCATCTGCTGGCTGCATGTAAACTACAGGTAGATTAGTTCATTTTTAGCAAAGGCTCCCTTTAGCAAAGGTTGCTACCCTCAGCCACCTTCCCACTGCACTAATATTCTGTTAGATATCTTGATTAAGAATGAAGAAGGGCCCCAGGAAGATGCTAGAGAACAGCAAAATGTCAGTTGCCCTGCTGCTGTATAATGGCAGTGAAAACCAGGGAAGTCAGAAGTGTTGTGCATCACTTCTAATGAAGTGGGTTTTTATTGGACTAGGACTATAGTGCATGCGATCGGTCCATGAAGTTATTGTAAATGTATTGCATCTTTTAAGTCACTGGCTGGATTATATATCTTCAGATTTGTGATGAGCTAACTAGGCCTAATGTAGTTCTCCAAGATTATTTTTATTGCTAATATTTTTTTTTTTAAGTTGACTAAATACTTTGCTACACAAATTATTTGGGTGGCTTAGAGTAATAGTGATCTTTGGTTAGTAAATAATATAATAACAAAGTACTTAATTTCTTTTCAGTCTAATGTGCCCCTCTATGTAAATAGGCTGAATTCAGAAGAGTCAATCATCCCTTACGAGTATGAACAGTAAGTACAGTACAGTATACTACTGTACTTTACTCTCATAAGTTGTGTAGTGTACTGCACAGTATTTTTGTTATAATGTGCTTGTAAGTGGCAAATGCCTACCTACCATATTCCTCTAAATACCTGTACCTGGTTTCCTATTGCACGTGTAGGAGTAATTTTTATTTATACCTGTATAAAGCAAAAATTATTTTTGTAGAAATGTCGGTTAGCACATAATGTTTGCCACGATGTTTGTATTTTATACATATATATGCATCCTGTACTCGGTTCAGTCACCGTACATTACATATTCATCTCAGTGTACTTGTTATACCCCGTCTTATTCCATTTTTACCATAGTCACTATCCTCCACCCTTAGTCCCAATCACCATCACCCCTTTCCCTGATGACTACCTTAGTTAGTCAGTTACACTGGAACCGTTTTACTGTCCTAGGCAAAGGCCAAATTTGTTTCATAACATTGCTAAATTACATTTTGAGTCCTGGTAGTATGGAAAATTTTGTTTAATGATAATAATATAAATTGTTTACAAAATGTTATTAAATTTTTTTTGAACAGTTTCGACTTCTGTAAAGCTACGGATCACACTGAAACTGTTGTTGAAAATTTGGGCCAGGTGATGTTTGGCGAGCGCATTCAACCCTCTCCCTACAAGGTAAGTGATCTTTTATCGCCTCTTTTTCTTCTATCTTCTAGTTTTGGCATATTTAATGCCTCTAACCTCTCCTTGTAGCTCTTGCCCCTTCAGTTCTGGGAGTCACTTAGTGGCATGTCTTTACACCCCTTTCCAGTTTGTTGATGTGCTTAAGATATGGGCACCATACATCCACTGCATATTCCAGCTTTAGTCTAATAAAAGTCGTGAAGAATTTTTTTTTAAGCTAAAAGCCAAGCTTAAATATTCCTGGGCCTACTTTAGTACATATACTGTATTTAGTATACAGTATTAGGCCTCATATAACATGCATTAGGCCTAGGATAGTTAGGTTAGGGTCTGTTAGCATCATAACTACAAAACCTTTTCCAGTTTGTCCAAATTCAGTAGTACCAAATTTTCTAATTGTCCATTGCGTCAATATATGTACACTGGTCCACATCATTACTAGAAGTACTATCTAAACAGGAGGATGAGCTGTTCAAAATGTGGAATTTTTCATACAACAGTTCATCTTCTATGCATTCCATTCATAGCAGCTATAGTTACTATAATTTTTGGAGGATGAATTTGAGAAAGCATGAGTGGTGATGCTCAGTCCTACAGTGCACTAGTGAGTGAACACCACCACCACATTTACCTGGGTTTATCTGAAGGTATGCTAGTGGTATGCCTGAAGAATGTAGTAAGAGTACCCCAGAGAAGTCATCACTGCCTGATGTTATAATGGAATGGGACTCCCCTTCCAAACAGTAACACCTCTCCTCCCCCCTTCCCCTTCCTCACCATTTTCCATACGCCAACAAGAGCCCTCAATAAAGGCAAGATATACTGTACAAATTGTATTGTAGCTAGTACAAAAAGTGGTATTCAGTATAAAATGTATTTTTAAGTTAATATTTTTGGGGGCATAGAACGGATTAATTCAATTTACATTATTTCTTATGGGAAAATTTGTTTCGAGGTACGACCTGGGAACGGATTCCGAATCTTGGGATCAGATTCAATGTGTATGTGGAGGTGCCACTGAAGAGACAAATTTAAACTTTTTGTGACAGTCAATATGAACAGTGTCCAGGCAAAGGTCTTCAATAATATCAATGATGACTGTGATAGTGGAGTTACTGCCAAGTTAAATACTGTAAATGCATTAAGAATACTATCACAATGCATTCTTTAAGTGAAACCATTAATTATGATAGTTTTGAGGCACAAATAATAATTTTAGTGGCCTGTTTTCAAAATGTTTTTTTCTCTATAAAAAAAACCAGCAGGTGTTTAAAGGCCTGGTAGTACTTTTCACCTTGTTTACTCTAAATGCTTACTATAATAGTAAATACATACTGTAATTTTAGGATGAGGCAAATTCCTTCAATAATATGCCAGGCATGATAATAAAGCTGCATGGCAATGCTACAGGCTACTAAAGAAATTAAATATGTAATTGACCACACTAAAGGTTAGCTGCCATGAAGATGGATAAGATGTCATAATATGAAGTACTGTATGTAAATGAATGCTTGATTTAGTGGGAGGATTGCCAATAGGCTTATTGAAGATTGACTAAAAAATAACATATGAACAGGTGCTGCAATTAAGGGATATAAAAGTCTTGCCTTGTGTGACTTTACTCAATTTCAAAAAGATTACCAATTCAGAAACTTTTGGGTACCCTCTGTATGTGTATTCATCATTTCATGCTCCTACAATTAATTGAAACCTCTTAGGCTAATATCCTCTTATTTTGTTTTTGCAGATTGAGTTTTTGAGTTCACAGAAGTGTGTTACAGTTTGCAGCAAGAATTATGACCCTGCTATTAAGGAAGATAAGCAAAAGCTTAATGACCTTAAGAAAGCCATGAATCTCAACTACTACCATCACTGGATAGTTGGTAAGCTGCTTTTACTCATTAAATATTTGAGTATTTGTCTGGCAAAATGGGAGAAAGGTGGCAGATGAGATGGGTGACTGAGGCCCCATCACAATGGCAGCCTGTGCTGGATTTTTCAAAGATGGTGTCTGATTATTATTGCCCCTGGCTAGCTTATGGGTGCCCCCTTTACCCGGCGGGACATTTAAAGCTTGCACAGCACCCTCAACTGTATACAGTATATATGATGTGCGCGGTTTGGTGACAGTTATTCAAATTGTGTATATACAATGTGTGTGGCTTAAGGGTTAATCCTGAGGGCATTAATGCGAGTGGTAGTTTTTAATGTTTATTGGTACAGTACACCATGGATAACTATAATTTATTTATCTGGAAACTTGATCCATTGCATCTGATACCAGTTGGATCAATCTTTCTGTGCTTAATAGGGATTGGACTTGGTTGTAGCAGAAATTCACTGTAATCATGCTGGTAAGATTAGTATTTGAACATGCAATTTGTTTGGTCTCAATGAAGCTAGTCAATAAAAAACAATTAACTTTGAAATTAATTTAAGTTGATAAGTGTTATTAATATTGGTTACCATATGTCTATTACTTCTAGATACTAGATCATTACTTCTAAGAATAGTCTTGTTTCAAGATGTTTTAGGATGCTTTCCAGATGCCACTTATCTGAATATGCCTGTTATCCATTTTGAGTTTGTCACAATAAAAACAATTAACTGGTGGGGTAGGCAGTCCGAATAATAAAGTGTGATAAAAATGGCACTAGTTTGCCAGTGATTGCACATGGTGCCACTTGAGCATTGTTCGTACACTAATAGATGGCTAAGAAGCTTTAAACTCTGCCACGGCATTCAGATACACTAGAGTACATGGTGAAAGGCAGATTTCTGAGGTTATCACATTGCCATTAATCTTCACTTAAGTCAACCCAACATTATCTGCATCCACCACCATCTTTTTCATCTAAATAACAATGCTTCACTAACTATAATCTTCAAGTTAACAAGCAGATCAGAACTTCTCATACTGGTGAGTACAAATAAAACACTGTTGAATTTCTTAACAAAATTGTCATTTATATTTTTTCCCCAAGCTTTTTAGGATAATAAACCACCTATCCAGTTACAACAGGTTATTCCTTCAATCTCAGTCCCGAGGGGTTCAGAAAGCGTGTGGCCCTCTGTATAAGCATGTTATAACATTAGCTTAAACAAAATTTTCATGACAGGAAAAATACTAAATTTGTTTAAAGTAATGTAAAGTTTGTTGGGTCAGCCAACTAGGTGTAATTGCACAAGTTAAACACCAGTACCATAATGCTAATTTTTGGTTTAGTTGTATGATAACCCATTTGCATTTCAGACAATATGCCAGTGACTTGGTGCTACTTAGTGGAAGGAGGCAGTGTTTTCTGTGCTACTGGCTTCCCTGTTGGATGCTTTGTAGACAATTCAAAGCGGCCTAAGGATGCCTGTGTTATGGATGTAAGTATTGTATTTGGTTTGTTTGGTCATGTGCAAACAATTGACACATTGTGGCTTCATTTGTCCTTCGTCTTCTATTTCTGTCAACCTATAATATAGGAACTCTGCCATGTAATTTTCTTTTCCTGTTAGTGCCATCTGAAGGGTAAAAGTGAAAAAGGATAAAAAAGGGAAAATTTAAGCAAACTACTGCTATGCAGTACTTTGAGCCGATATCCCTAGGAAAAGATATTTATAATTTAGTCGTCATCTCTTTATCGTGCAGTGTAATTTGACAAAAAATGCAAATTAACAAGACCTGTCAAATGTCATACTACCTTAGACAATATAACTGACATTAACCCTAATATGCATGGGCAGTATTGCAATAATGAAAACTTAACTTTTTTGTATTTGAACAAGGTACCTGCTCCAGTCGCAACAGTTATGGTTTCACTTCTTTATGTGCTTTATATATGACGTATCAATTAAAGTCTTGCATAAGATTTTTGCTCTAGGTTCAATAGTTTTGAATAGAAAAAATATTAGTAATTTTCTAAAATTTAAATAAATCACTTGATATAAAAGTATACAAATTTTATGTGCTTTTATTTTTTTGTTTTTGTTTTCTTAGCTTTCATTACCCTCTCCCCCCCCCCCCCAAAAAAAAAAAATATTAATTTTTACTCTTTTTGGGGTAATTTACCTGTTCCCCAAACCCTGTATTAGATAATCAACATTTGATAACTGCACTTTTAGTGTTACACTAAAGTAGTACTTTTGTTTATCTGTATTTAGACAACTGGTATGTATTGAAGGGTCTCATACTACAGTACAGTATTTCTATTTCAACTTGGAATGTTAAGTTATTGATCAGCTTTTTCCTTTTCTTGACACAGAAACGATACAAAAATCCAAACACTTACTATCTTTTCAACCATGTGGACCTGAATATTACCTACCACAGTGGTGATGGGGAGGAATGGGGTGCAGCTCTTAATGGCCCTGGAGGACGCATTCTTTGTGAGTAATTATTAAAACTAATTATAATGTATTTAATCATTGATAGTATGCCAGAATTCTTGGTTGCTCATTGAAACAATAACTTGGGTAATCTCGATAAAAGATACCCCCCTGCACTTTTTGATGGCTATGTTCTTAAACTTCACTCACACTAGGTAAACTTTTTCTTCCCCATTTTAAATGGTTTGTGTGTGATATTTCAAAGTGATTTTGCATGTACAGTACTTGAAACTTGCAACAACATGTATGGTGGTAAGTGTTAGGTGTCTATTGGAATTTAGCAGTATTTTTCTGTTGAATGTTTATAAAACTAATTTAAACAGGAAAGGAGGATGAAAATGTTGGAACAGTGTATAACACAACTGTACCAAACTTTTTACACACACACACGCGCACACATTCAGAACACACTAATGTTAAGATGTGTTTGCAGTAATGTTTGAATTGCAACCCTAAGAAGTTTAAGCTAAGCCCTTTTTCTGCATTATTTTGATCTATTAACTTCAGTTCTTTGATCATAGCTCAATGGAATTCCAGTATTTTCTTCTACAGCAGCATTTTCCTCTTGTGACCAAAAAAAGAATATGAATACATTTTGGTATGGCTTTGTACTAGTCCAGCATATAGTTTATGTGTTGTAAGAATAGGCTGTTTATGAGGGCAGATGAGAATACCGTGATGCTTGTTCATGTTGAAAACTCAAATCTTGTGCATTTTGAGAGGCAAGTGGAGACAAAGGATAGGTGTAACCAGAAGCCCAGTAAATGGGCAGGAGTATTTTATAACAAGTTGAGGCAAAGATACTTTCCCAATGGAGTGGGTTGACTCAAGGTGACATTTCCTTAGTGCCTGCCTATGCCTATCAGCGACTGGGGGGAACGAGATCTAGCTCTTTATGCCTTGTCTCCTAGCCATTTATACTGGTGCACTAATTGCCTCAACATTTAACATTTTCATTGTATGTTTTTTAAAGATGGAGATGGAATTGGCTTCAACAACCTCTTTCTTCAATGCATTCCACTTACTAACCACTAGTACAGGAAATGAGAACTTCCTTACATCTCTTCACCTCAAATGGAAGCTCAACTTGCAAATATGTCCTCTCATCCTGCCTCGCTTTCATATATATTTAAATAGGCTTCCTTTATAAACTTTCCCTCAAGGTCTTGTACATAGTTATCATATCCTCGGTTTCATCTCTCCTCTACGGTTATAAGGGTGAGTTCTGTCAATGTGTCCTCATAGCTGAGGCCTCTTAATTCTGGTACTACTCTAATATAATTGCAAATCTCTGAACTTTCTCGAGTTTATGCATCACAAGGTGTGGGTTCCATGTGATGATTAAACCACACACCAGAAGATGAGATGATGAAGTTTCAATCCATCCTGGACCATTATCAAGTTGATTGTGCAGATCCATCATAGGTTCTATGCTGGATCTGCATACTCGAGAAATGGTCTCTCATAGGCAGTGTATGGACTTGAAAGACTCCTTGTTTAGATTCTTAAATGATGACCAAATGTTTGCTAACTTCCCATATGCTGCTGATGTTACTTTGTTCACATGAGCTTTTAGTGTTATTGTTGGAATTATGTCTATTACCAGGTCTTTTTCTCTTCTTATTGTTTCTTGTAATTACCTTCTTGCTTATGGTATAATTCAATACAGGTCTCTTGTGCAGCTTGCCTTGTAGAACGGCATGTCCTTGTGTTTGAGGTCGAGTGTACTGTTCATGTTTTAATGAGCACAGGATCATGGTCTACTGCAGTTAATGCAATGAACTGCTAGGGGTTATGCATTGAAGGCTTAGTAGGGTCATGCATTGTAGGCTTAGTAGGGTCATGCATTGAAGGCTTAGTAGGGTCATGCATTGAAGGCTTAGTAGGGTCATGCATTGAAGGCTTAGTAGGGTCATGCATTGTAGGCTTAGCATTGTTCTTTTGCAAAAGAAAGGGGCACAATAAATTCTCAGGTCTACCATGGAGAATTTCCCCTTCCAGGTTTGTCAATTTGTTGGTGGGTTCTTCAGCTTTAGAACTGATCAGGTTAGCTGGCTGGGGTTGGGCTAATTTTTAGTGGTCATCATTATTAATGAGTTTGAGTTAGTTTTGAGTGAATATTTTCTTGTTTGCCAAGTTGTTTGGCAATTTTGAGGCTTCATTTCCTGTGAATCTTTCAGTTGTCTGTAAAATTTTGCTGACTTTCCAGATGCTTTTCTGGTAGGGTGGTGGATTGTCATTCACTCCCTACACCTATGTGAGGGAGCCAGGTTCTGGCTCTGGTCCCCAGTAGGTCAAATGGAGCTCCTGCAACTAATGTGATATTTTAGTATGAAGCAATCTCAGCGAGATATCTTCAGGGAGCCACCGGAGCTCTACCAGAAAGATGCATTTCATTACAATCAATGCTGTTTCTTACTTTTATAAAATTATAGATTCCATTTTAATTAAAAAATAATTTTTTCATTATTCATTAAATCAAATCGTCAAATCATTTTCATCATTCATTAAAAAATTATTTTTTTTAGAAATTCATTAATGAATTTCTAAAAATATTTTTCCAATTTTATCGTAGCATATCCATCTTTGATAAACTGTGTATACAGTACTTTGGTAACTTAAGAGTACAGTACACCATTGCATTTTTTTTTTTAATTAGATCAGTACAAGTGGATTTTAATATGCCAAAATGTTCCCAGTCCATTAGAGCAGTATTAATAAAGAGTATTAATTCAGGGTCCTGCATTTGTATACTTTGGCTAAATTGTTGTTGACCAATTAAATTTTCTATAGGATTAGTGGATTTGTTGAGCAGATGCAGCCCTCTGAATGATATATTTTGTTAATTCCCAGTATAAAGAAATTACTCATGCTAAGATACTTTTGTGAGGCTCTGAAGTTCTGTACTGAAATGTCTTGTTGACATTTATTCGTGATATGACCATTTCAGCTGTACGTGTCATGCCAAGGAGCATTAAGCATGCAAAAGCAGCTAGAGAGGAAGACTCGTGTGATACTACAGATGTTATGGGGATTGATGCAGACTTTAAAACAAAAGTTGAGGTCAAATACTCCTATAGTGTAACTTTCACGGTGAGCTGCAAGAATTTATTTATACAGTATTGAGAAGTTGGTGGCAATACAATTTGTTATATCTTCCACAGGTATAAGCTAAGGAAGATGTTGAGACAACATTTAGAAAAGGTCATTTCAGTTTTTCTAACTTCTTCCCCACTATTTCCCTAGGCTTCTGTTCGGTATCTTGGGACCCTCCTAATGCTGACTTGAAGTCTGAATGCTTTTCAAATTGAGCACTGTATTCCTATCACAGCTATTTTTGTTTTACTGTATTTTTTATTTAGAGCCTCATTATATCGACTTGAAAACTAAAACATTTATGCGTGATTATAAAACTTAATAAAAACAAATTTAGGAGTTGCTCTTGCCAAATGAGAAAAAACATATGAAATGTGGTAGATCTTCAAGTAAGGTGCCATCACAAGAATCACAAGAAGGGTAATTAGATAAGTCATAGAGTATATCTTTGTGCTTTGGTCAAATTGGGGCTACAATTCTGTCATATGATCATGGTCATTAACATTTTGGCTGCATATTTAGATTTCACAAAGGAATTATTTTGAAAAGTGTGCTTTGAATCCTTGAAGTAAAGATGATTATTGTTTTAATGTTCTAATGTCATCAATGGTCATGTAAATTACTATATATTTCTTTAACAAATGAGCACAACTGCTGCACGGATTAGATTTGGATTATGTTTCAAAAGTAAGTTGCAAACAAGATTTCTCAATTACTTTTTGCCAGCAAGAAACTGATTATGAAACTTTGCAATATTTTGACCCTCACAAAATACTTCCGGTAAGTTTTCATCTATACCCAGGCTTGACTCTCAACTTGATATAAGTTCACGCATCCAAATGTAACCAGATGCATCTGAACAGTAAACCAGTTGTTACAAAAGTGGTAATTATCATCAAATATGGCAGCAAAAATATTAAAATTTGATTTTACAACTGTTAAAATAAATTTAGGCGTCGCCGCACGCTCGCCCGCACCATTAGCCCCATGACGTCAAAGTCTGCAGTGCTCACGTGGCGCGGGCGATAGTGTTAAGCTGTTACCACTTTGTAATGCAATAACCCCTTATTGCATTCGTTATAGGGGCTAAGGATTGTACTGGGGACCAGCTTCCTTGTTAAAAGCAAAATTAATTTTGTTTTCCGCCTTTAATACCCTTAATCTTTTTCTATATTCTTACATTTTTACTGTGAGAAATTAAGTAATGATAAGGAAGGGAAGGGAACTATGAGGAGAAAGCACCAAGCCATTATCACTATATAGCACTGGGAGGGGGGGGGGTCAAGATAAGGATTTGGGATGGGAAGGGGCAAGGAATGGTGCCCAAACACTTGGACGGTCAGGGATTTTTTTTTTAGCATAAGCCATTCAGCTGCTTATGGGCTATTCATGCCTGTGCCACCTCTTGGGTGGTTAAATCTTTATCAATCATCAATCCTTGTAAGAAATGGCCAGTTGACGAGATACTGAAAATATTGTTAGGAAAAGATTTTAATAGTGTTATGGCTTGCAGAAGAGCTCTGGGAACAACCGCTGGTCATCTCGTTGGGACTACATTCTGGACTCCATGCCTCACACAAACATCCAGTGGTTCAGCATTCTTAACTCACTGGTGATCGTGCTCTTCTTGTCTGGGATGGTAGCAATGATAATGTTGCGCACACTACATAAGGACATTGCTCGCTACAACCAGGTTTGTTTACTATTTGGTATGAAGGTGCAAGTTGGTTGTTTCTATTTGGTGCACTACATTAATTTTCAGATGTTCTTAAAACCCTGTCAAGTGTGGAATGTTAGTATCCCTGTTGTTATAATTACCATTCAATGTGAAACTGGTGTAAATATTAATTTGCATTTACAGTAATTAGTTTGCAATGGTTGTGTTGGATATTAGATGTACATTTTTCAAAAATGAAGTTCATTTATGTTAGTGGATTAAGAGCAGCATGTTCAGTAAACAAGTCGGGATTTGGAGGAAGAAAAGGGAGCAGAAAGATTTAAAACATGGCTGAATGTAAATAAAGCTATATGTAAGAAAAATTCAGACCTTGCAAAGAAGCATGCATAAAGGAAAATAATAAAAATGTAAGTTATGACAATTCTTTCCTAGAATTAGCAGGGGGCTGTTCTTAATGGTGAAATATAACTTAATTATCTGATTTAACACCTTTTTATATAGTGGCTATTTATAGATGTTGAGTGCTAAAGAACATAAAATTTTAATTTTATAATTAAGGTTAACTTAATTATAAATTAAGAGGCTTTTGTTCATTGACTGTTTAGCTGTAATTAAGAAACATTTTAAGAAATGCTCTTGGATAGTAAACAGTTATAAAGAGCTGTAATTATCATTAAAAATTATGACTGCAGTTAATTTTTGAAAGTGAAACCCAAAATTTAGTGGGATAGGTGCTGCTTGCTGAGGCATGAAAGTGGTGGTGAGGGTCAATGTTATATAATTATGAAGTGTCAGCAGGTTTAACATTGCTAATAGTTAGCAGGGAGTTGAATGTACTGATGTTCCCCCTTTTTTACAATGATACTTTGCGGGAAAAACTATTTTGGTATGTTTCATCGTACATTTTTGAAGGGTATTTTAGTGTTAAAGTGGATTTTGTACCATAGTTCTTACCTCCTCTAAGATCAGCTGTGGTGTAGTTGTTTATATTTTGGGTGAGAGAATTGCTTTATATAGGATATGAAACTTGTATTTCTGGATGTGATGTTTTGTTGCCGCATCAGGCCACCAGGTGGCACACCCGGCGGTGGCGCACCATCACAGCGCACTGGTGGTATTGTCATTCACACATTGCAAATGGCTGACAGGCGGATGAAAGTGGAACATTTCTTTCAAATTTCTAGGATGATTTTTTCATGTAGATAAAGAATGAACGTGTCTTAAAGATAACACCGTCGTTAAATAATGTATGAGAGATCAGGTGTATCCGGATTATGTATACAGTACTGGATAAGATTGATGTGAGTTTCCTCCATAGCTTCTGACGTATCATAAATTTGTGATAACAGACTGTGATAATTCTGCTTGGTTTCAATATATTTTATTATTAGCAACGATTTTTGTACCTAGCAAACTTACCCAGTATTTTCGTCCGGCTCCCTCGGTTTCCTTAGTACATCCTTAGTACAGCTACATTAAATGCAGGGCACTTTATTTTTAAAGGTATAAAAAAAAAAAAGTTTGTCTTGTATGCCGGCAAATTCGGTATACTGTATATAAATATTCAGTTTTTATGAAAGGTAGTACATGATGAGAGGCCTGTTATGACCAGTGATTATTTTGTGAAAGTTTGGTGAAATAAAAGTTAGAGACTAAGTATGATAATCAAAATTAAAATAAAGTTTTAAGGTACAGTATATGATTGCTAGCACTTCAGGCACAAGGATACAAGATTGTTAGACAAGGCCAATAATTATTTAAAATAGTATTACAAGTGTACAATATTGTAAAAAGCTTTAAAGATGCATGGTAAACATAAATTTTGAATAGACATCTTTCCCACTTAAATTTTATTATTTAAACTTGTGTCTAGATTGATGCTGGAGAGGATGCTCAAGAGGAGTATGGCTGGAAGTTGGTTCATGGCGATGTGTTCCGCCCACCCCGCCGTGGGATGCTTCTCTCCGTGTTGGTTGGTTCTGGCACGCAAGTGTTCATAATGACTCTAGTTACACTGCGTATGTATCTACAGCTCTTTTTATTTTGAAGTATGTATTTTTAGTAAATATATTGTGTATTTCCAGCACATTATTGAGTATTTGAAAATTAAATGTACAGTACAGAACCCTCCCTATATACAATGTTTATTTTCAGTGTTTGCTTGCCTTGGGTTCCTTTCCCCTGCCAACCGTGGAGCACTGATGACATGTGCTATGGTTCTGTATGTTTGCCTTGGGTTCCCTGCTGGATACATTGCTGCTCGTCTTTACAAGAGCTTTGGTGGAGAGAAATGGAAAACTAATGTACTTCTGACCTCTATGTTGTGCCCTGGGTTAGTTGATGAGAAGAAGTTATTTGGAAGTTTGTTTTGTGCTGTTAAAAATTCTCTTGGTTATTTTTTGTTAGCATTGGAAAAAATCTGAAATTGGTATATAACTTTGGTAAATCTGAACAGATGTACAATTATACTTATCAGACTGTAAGAGAAATCTATCATTGCTTTTTTTTTTTTTTTGTTTAATTTATTATATCCAATATAAGTATTATGTTTATGGAGCTGTTTTGTTATATAGTTTTCATAAATTGATCTGTATGTTAATAATGTAATAAGAAGCCATTTCCCCCAATTTCCTTCCTCCCTGTAGTTTTTTGGGGATTGTCAAAATGCGAGTTGTTGGGCCTGGGAACATAAGGATGACAGGTGATGCTCTCTTGGTGATATAGGTTAACAAGCTGGCAGTAAAAAAATTGATATATGCATTATATGGCCTTGCAAAGACCATTTGAACAGTCGCTGATGTTGAAATTGTCATGAACCTTGTCCAGGGTTCTTAGTGGATATTACCTTAGAGGGCAGCTGAATGATTGATAAAGATTAAGCCACCCAAGAGGTGGCACAGGCATGAATAGCCCATAAGCAGCTGAATGGCTTATGTTATAAAAAAGGTGCTTTTTGGATCTACACTCAAAACAGTAGTTAAAAAAAAAAAAATTGCTTTTACTTTTCTAACAAACTTTATAACAAATGACTTCTCATTTCAGTATTGTATTTGCCCTCTTCTTCATAATGAACTTGATTCTGTGGTACAAGGGATCAAGTGCTGCTGTTCCATTCACTACTCTACTGGCTCTTCTGGCACTCTGGTTCTTGGTGTCAGTTCCACTCACTTTTGTTGGCTCCTTCTTTGGCTACAGGAAGAGGGTATGTTCATGTTGCCTTGTTTCTGAAATATTATGGGAGCCTGTATATATTATATTTATGAAATATATTTAATCTTATTAATATATAACCAAGAGTTTGAAATAAATGTAGCTTATTTGCAAGAATGTTCCCCTCACCTTTTCCCCAATTATAAGTTGCAGGCATTTTAGATGTTTCATATAGAAATTCTTGATGCCAAGTTGCCCTCCCCCCTTCCCCCCCCCCCCTGTAGTTCAGCTGCTTTAAAACCCTGCAACAAAATTGTTCTTAAAATGTATTATTACTTGAACTAAATATAAAAAATGCTAATAAGAGCACACGAAAGTACTGTATTGTTAATAGGCAGAGTTTTAAGCAGATATGGTTGAACAGTTTGACAAATTAGTTAAGCAGTACTGCATAAGGAACAAAACAGTTGTGAAGTGAATTGTAAAAAAAATATTCATTTTGATTTGCAATTGATTGATTATAACTGTTAGAAATTGAGAATTTTTGTTTTAAATTTGTGGTAAGTGCATGTTCTGAATGTAATTTGTTTCTTCCAGTGCTTAGAAAATCCAGTACGAACCAACCAGATACCTCGCCAGATTCCAGAGCAAAGCATATACACCCAACCTCTTCCTGGCATCATCATGGGTGGTGTCCTGCCCTTTGGCTGCATCTTCATACAACTTTTCTTCATTCTCAACTCAATCTGGTCATCACAAACCTACTATATGTTTGGTTTCCTCTTCCTAGTGTTCCTGATTCTGGTCGTCACCTGCTCTGAGACTACTGTGCTGCTCTGCTACTTCCATCTATGTGCTGAGGTAACACCTTCGCATGTTTTAAGGAGCCAGGTCACTTTAACACTGCTTAATAACCATCACCACTACCCACATATTTTGTACTAGTATATGGCTACAAGTATCAAAGTCCCCATGGGCTGGTATCTGACTATGCCTTGTATAGTCAGTAGGGAGCCGGTCGGCCGAGCGGACAGCACGCTGGACTTGTGATCCTGTGGTCCTGGGTTCGATCCCAGGCGCCGGCGAGAAACATTGGGCAAAGTTTCTTTCACCCTATGCCCCTGTTACCTAGCAGTAAAATAGGTACCTGGGTGTTAGTCAGCTGTCACGGGCTGCTTCCTGGGGGTGGAGGCCTGGTCGAGGACCGGGCCGCGGGGACATTAAAAAGCCCCGAAATCATCTCAAGATAACCTCAAGATATAACCTGTACACCACTCTTGCACCAACCTCTTAAACTACCATTTTAAACCACCGTCTTGTCTTTTATATAAAATAAATACTACATTTTGTATTTGACATAAATTAACTTTGTCATTTATTGTTGAAAATAAAGATACAGGAGGTAAGTATCTACTAAGTAATAGTAGTAGTAGAATTTTTGTTTAATATATTTTCATGTACTCTTCTAATATGAAATTAGTTTATTTTGGTGGTTGCATACAATGTGATTCAAATGCATATATTAGAGCTTTAGTTTGTGTTCATGCAGTATTAGACTAGAAATGTGACTACCCCATCATCCACTACTTGGTGTCAATAGACACCAAGGATCCCCAGTAACATAAGTGGGAATTTGGCCCACTTGCCTCTTTCCCTTCTGTAATTAAATGCCAAATGCTACCCCACCCCATAACAATAAGAGCAGGATAATGTATAAATTTGTATAATGTACATTATATACAAAATTTTATTATATATTATCTAATTATATATAATTATTATAGTCTTGTACTATGTATTATATAAAATAAAAATATTTCAGGATTATCACTGGTGGTGGCGAAGTTTCTTAACTTCTGGATTCACAGCCTTTTATTTGTTTGTGTACTGCATTCATTATTTCATCACCAAACTGAGCATAGAGGGTGCGGTATCCACCATGCTGTATTTTGGATACACTGCAATCATGGTCTTCCTCTTCTTCCTTCTCACAGGTATAGTGTAATCATTCTATACCTAGTTTTTTGGAAAGTACAGTGAGCGCAACATTGATTTTAATGTAGTCATAAATTATCATTTTTAAAAATATTGTAAAGTAACTCACTTAGGTTAAAGTGTCTAGTCCACAGGTGAGGACCCTTTTGTCATATGCAAACATATTGTACTTTGTGAAGATTTCATAAGGCTGCACATTGTGTTGTGCATTGTATACATTCAAACATGTCAAAAATTAACTTCTAAATAAAATTTAATTAATTTAAATTGCTTTTGAAGACTGCACAGAGTATCATAAGGTTGCAGGTTCCTCACCTCTGGTCTTGTCTATGCTGCCTATCATTTTGTTATAGGTACAGATATATTTTATTAACTTGTTTTAAGTATTATATGGTCCACAAATTTGTTCTGCTTGAATTTCTAGCATAGTTGTAAGAGACGATAGTGGAAGTATAGAAAACACTTGAGGAACAGTAATGTGTGCATAGATGCCTGTCTACACAGACTATTTTGTATTGTGAAGGACACGTTGAAGAAGTAACTAAATGATGGGTGTCTAAAAAATAGTTGTCAAGGGTGTTTATAAATTGTTTAAACTGCTGAGCCAGAGAATTTTATTTTTTTATTTTTCATATTTTAGTATGATTTACTTGACATAAACAATATCAAGCATAAAAAACAACCTTTAAATATTTTAAAAGTACATTTGCACATGAATTAGTGTGTGAAAGCACATGCCTATCTGTTTTTTGCCTGTTGGTAAATGTGCATCATTCTTGCTGTTAAGTGGTATTGTGTCGCAGGTGAACTGACAGTTTTCATATTTACAGGAACCATTGGCTTTATTGCTTGCTTCTGGTTTGTACGAAAGATCTACAGTGTAGTGAAGGTGGATTAAAATTTAAAACCTGTTTACTCTTGGAACAAGTCTTCAGTGTTTTGGTGAGTATAGTTGGGCCTTGGTGTTGCCATCTTAGATTTAGGTTTTCCTTGAATAGTACTTAAAGGCTGATAGGAGCTTTAATGAAGAACTGTTAAGTTGTGTGCTTCATAATAGGACTGATGAATTGTATACAGATGTCAGTTCTTTTTCCCCCTTTCCTCTCCTTGTATTCATATTTGGTATGCCTGCCTTTTCAAAAGAACAGGAGCAGGGTTATATAATTTTTCCATTTCATAAAAAAACAAAATTACAGGAATACCTTGTCATAACACATGTCTTTGCTCTTGCTTCTCCTCCCATATTGGTAGTGGAATTGGCTACCCTTGCTCTGGAAATTCCAGTAGCCCTAGATTCTACCTCTGGTGCTGTCCCTGACATAGTGCATGTTGTTTCTGTCCTTCCTCAGTCCCACTCCCTCGACCTCCCCTTCCCGGTGCCTAAAATCCGATATTACAAGGCTGGCTGCAAACCTGTGGTATCTCTCAAAGGGAGAAAGCACATGGTTGTTTAGGTTGACCAGTCCTGGACAGGTCCACTTAAGGCACATTACATAGTCCACCAGGGAAACAAATTCCCAAATTTTAGCAAGAAAATACTCTGCAACCTACACAGAGGTGAGGGGCCTCACATCTGAGTGGACAGTATTTGGGAGAGGGAATATGATGATTACTACATGCACTTCCATTCACAACTTTAAGAAAAATTGGAAGCTATAGTGTTGAGAGATGAACAAATCTACAAGGGTTCTCTGTGACGAGGGTTCGAATCTACGTCCGAGAGCATCCTAGACGCTGCCTTAATGTGTTGAGAGATGTAATTATAAACCATGAAGTGAAGCTCACTCCAATGTAGTCACTGATTGGTAAGACCTCCTTATTGCTATTACCAACACCACCTCGCCCAACTGCTCCAAGATAGTTTTCTCAGTTGACCTTACATGATTGTCATGTATAGATACTGTAATAATTAACTTAAGTGTGTGAAAGAACCTTATTTACTTTAAATGCTTGTCATGTGGATATGCATAATTTAGTTGCTTCATTACATATCACCCATGCTCCTCATTTCACATTGTAGTTTAGATATCTTTAGTTTGCATAAACTGTGTAGGCCATGTGATGCTATATAAATTTTCTGTATATTATTTCCTAACCAGTTGTGCATTTATTTACTTCAGACAGAGTCCATCTTGGCCATGGCAATGCAGATGTAAAACACAGTGAAGTTTCTGCTTATGATCATTTCAAGTCATGGAGCAAGTACAGGATTGAGTTAATTGCTATCCACCATACTTGGATAGTCTGTCTCAGATACTGTAACTTATGGGCATTAATGTTAGATTCACCTTGTATTAACTTAGTATGGACAAGACCTTAAGATATTCAAATTTAGGAAATGATTACTAATATGAGTGTGCTTGAATACCTGTAAAATTAGAATATCATTTCATGTAAATTAAGCTGAATATAAATCTTTGAAAGTTTAAAAAAATTCTTTAATTATCAAGTTTAAGTTTTAGTATTGGGCACAATGAACATACTTTTAGTATGTTTTAGTAAACAGCTTTATTTTCAGTATTTAATAAGATTATACAAAATTGCTAGATGCATAGAATTAAAAAATACTTTTTTTTTTATATTGACCTATTCATTATTTCAAATTTGTATCATATTGTATTTGCTGTGTATGTATGTACATCTATAAATTGATTACGTAAATGAACCAATTAAAAACAATCTCAAATTCAAAACGTCAAAATATGATATTTGAAAGTAATTTTTTTTTCTAGGTTTCAGGTAGCTATAAATGATAGTGATTGGTATATAGGGCAATATCTTTAATACTTTAAATTCTTTTAATTAAACATTTACCGAAAGGGTAGGTCTCGGTTGAAGATATGCTTAGCTACTACAGTGTTGTAATATCATATATTGCAAGTAATGTAGTCTAGAATTCTACCTAGGATTCTGTTTCCTTCGTGGTGTGAAGTGTTTGCAACCTGTCTCTTCTCAAACTTCCACACAAACTGCAAGAGCTTTTTCTCAAAGGGCCTCCAAGGACATTAACCATAACTTGAACAATAATGGTACTGTACAGACATCGTGTTTGTGTGTCCACTAAATTGCAGTGACATAAGTAGTTGCATTTCATTTTTAGTTATAAAGTAATTTAATGTTTGGGATTACAATGCTGGGCAATTAGTTTATTAACCCTGGTGTAATGAAGGGTAAACAAGTAGGACACAGTTTGTCTTTTAGAGTTTTGCATTTTTTAAAATTTGTTCATACATTTTTGGGGGACACGATTCAAATCTAAATTATTCCTCTGCATTGTTCTGAAAGAATGCTTCCAATGAAACGAAGGCAGCATCTCTTGAAGCATATCAAAATCTATTGTGTACAATACAAGTAAATATAATTGTATTTTTTCTTTCATTTCCTTAAAGGAAATAAGTGATGACCAGATAGTGCTAATCTCTAGAGGTGCAATAAAAATTACTGGTCATGTGTCCTGAAAACAGCAAGATGCTGTTACTGTGTAATTATTCTAAACTGGATTTCATTGTATTGAATGAAACATTTAAGTCAAATTGCACAAATTTGAATTATCATTAAGGATTATAAGTTATTGTTGAGCTCTGGATAGTAAAATAAAAAAAACTATAACACTTTCAAAACTTAAATTGTTGACTAGTAATTAGGGAGCAATTCCTACAATGTTTAAATGAGCTAAGTATGTTTGTTGCTAGTGATCATCTTTGCTCTATTTCTGGCCATTGTAGTCTTGTGTGTGGCTGGTGATATGTTTGTGTTTGTTTGCAAGGTGTGACTGGTGATTTCTGTATATATTTAAATTTTGTATTTTGAAGCACGAGTGACTTTTTATGTGTATCTGGATCTTCAGTTTTATTTTGATTTAGAGTATTGGTTGATAGAATTCAATTTCCACAATTTGCATTAACTTTGTATTGAATGGCAACTGTAAAATTGTTTGAGGTTTGTGAAAAGTAGGAGATGTATATAACACATTATATCATGCTTCTCCAACTTGTAATTTGTTTTACTTGTATACATATCCCAATGGTATGTGGAGCATTTCATAATTTTTGTCTTGAGCTTCCCAGTTACATTAAACGAGATAGAACTTGATGTACAGCAGTGGGTGCTTCATTGTTATTTATTTTTAGATTTTTTAGTTCTCTGTTGTATAGTACATGGTATCACATCATGGCAGGAATGGCTTATAGAATCCAACTTCTGTTTTCTAGCCAGCGTTGCTTCAACCAGTATTTCAGTGCATTGGGAAGAATTTGAATGAGTCATTAGATAATATTTGCAGTGAAACTGTAGGGTATTAGGAGATTCTTGGAACTTCAGTGCTGTGTGCTTGTGTGATATTCAAATGTATATGCATTGCATGAACAGCTGACCAGTATGCATATTTGTTTACTCTAATTTCTATATGAAAAAGAAGAAACAATTGAAGGGTTTTTGGAGTGAGACTAATTTTTTCCAGTTGTCACTCAAAAGAACTTTTCTTCCCATCTTGAAGTGGAGATTGAATTTGTTCACACTCTCCCTACTTGTTATGGTTTACTTTCACTTCAATTCTTGAACTGAATCATCATTGTTAATGATCCAGTTTGCCGTAATGTGAAGCATTTTCTAAGCATACAGTATTATATTTTAAATTATCATTTTAAGTGGAAAATCTTCATTGGAGAATAAGAGATCTATATTAATCTGTGAAAGATTTCAAAGTTTATTGATTTGATGTCTCGTTCAACGTGAAAATTTATTTTGGTACTGTATTACGTAGTCTAATAACCTTGGTTGATTGCTGCTTTTTGGGGACTATGGCATCTATAAATTTGATGCTTTTATGTAATTTTACTAAAGGCACTGCAAATAAGCAGATCAAATGTAATACTGTACAGTATCATATTTCTTTCCATGATTGTTTCCCATTGTGTTTACTTGGTTAAAGAAATGGTTTAAAGTTAATTGCATAATTAGTAAATTTTTGCTGTGGTTTTTATAATTTTAAATGATTTATATATTGCTCATTGGTGGTATGTATCAAAAGTAGACCACATTCCTATTTCTACACTGCAATCCGTCACTTTTACGATGGCCATTTCTTCTGGATATTTTTGTAAAAGTTTGATTATAATATATCAATGAATATTATAATTGCTTATTTATTTCCATCCTTAATATTTTAGTAGTTTTTATTATTGTTCTGTGAACATGAAAATTGAGTTGTAATGAAGAACAGAAAATTGAATTGAAATACATTCAACTAAATATTTTTTTTTATTTTTAGCAGTTATAAGTTGAATTTAATCCTCAGTGTAGGTATCAAAATATTTGTCACCTTGCCTGTGCCCCAAAAAAGTGGAAATAAACTTTCTTTTAATACATTTACAGTACAGTGGAACCTTGGTCTACAAATTTAATACGTTCCTAGAGACTGATCATACACCGAAATGAATTTCCCATAAGAAATAATGTAAAGTGAATTAATATTTTTTGGTGTGGAACGGATTAACTTAAAAATACATCTTGTACCAAATACTATTTATTTTCTACCATGCCTAACCTTTATTGAAGACTCCTGTTGGTGTATGGAAGATGATGAGGAGGAAAGGTGTTAGTGTTTGGAATGGCGGTCCCCTTCCTCCTTTTCTCATTTAAAAAGAAAGGTGTTCTCTTTCCTTCAACAGGCAGTGATGCCATATCTGGGGTACTCTCTCTCCTGTGTTTTGCAGGCATACCACGAGGACCTGGTTGTGACTCGCTGCTTGGTTGTCTTACTAAGAATCTGTCTATAGACACTTTGTTTTTCCCTACGTTAACTATAATGACAATGTAATGTCTCGTTACAAAGGTTAATGCAACGGCCTGCTACAGCTTTATTTGGGCAAAACTTTGCAGTGCTTCCCATACTGCACACATTTTCTTAATGAGGAAGGGACATCTTCTATTCAGCTATTTTCTGAGGCTGAACTTGACCACTGACTTTCTTGGGATCCATGGCATGATATATAATAACTTTTATGTTCAGAAGCCAAAAAAGCAGAATTTTTTTTTTTTTTTTTTTTACATAATTCGAGTGCGGTTGTCGCTAGGTGGGATACACTGGTGAACTGAGGGTGCCTCGCCCAGCAGAACCCACGCACCTGACCCCGAGCTCAATAACCCTGAGGTTATTGAGCTTGGGGATGTGGGTTTCCTATTTCCCTCCCCTTTCCTACAATTCTCTCTATTGCAGCTGCAGTTCTCTTTCCTTGTCATAACCCTCTGGATATATTTTCTTCCGTGCTCAAATCTGTTGAAGATCTTTATCATAGAATCTATCCATCCTGTTTCTCACCTTTTTTTTTCATCACATGCTGGGTTTTTTAGTCCTACCACAACTATTGCTCCTTTTTTTCTTTCTAGTAGCTGGCTCGTAATCCTTGCTACTTCCTGAAAAACTTTCCTGACTTTTGGGTCCGTTTGCAGAAGCGTCCGGAAATGTGAAGTTCTCTACCAGGGGTACTTCCACTGCCTAGTTGCTCACAGCATTGCTCTCATTTGTTCCATTTTCAGTACGGGTTGGTTTTCCTTGAAGATTTTTGTATGCTAGATTGGCCAACATAAGAACTGCCTTTAGAAACTTGCATAAGGAATCATTCAGAACCTTGTATACCATATATCCATTACAGTCCCCGTGGCAAGACACTCGCTTTACATTTTGCGAATGCTTTGGTCTGGGTTTGTATCCTGGCTGGGGAGGATTTACTGGGCGCCAATCCTTAACTGTAGCCCCTGTTTGCCCAACAGTAAAATGGGTATCTGGTTGTTCAACGATTTGGCGAGTCGTATTCCAGGGAATATTACGATTAAGGATTTGCCCGAAATGCTATGCGTACTAGTGGCTGTACAAGAATGTATGAACTCTTGTATATATAAATAAATAAATAAAAATTATATGTCAAACCAATCATGGAGTGTGCAGCTCCAGCCAACAGCCCATACCTAGTTAAACATGACAAAGTTAGAGAAGATTTAGAGGTATGCCACTAGACTAGTCCCAGAGCTGAGAGGTATGTGTTACGAGGAAAGGCTACAATAACTAATTCACGTCCCTGGAAGACAGAAGAGTTAGGGGAATCTGTACACCGGTTGGGAGGCAGAACCAAAGAGGCAATGCTTAACTGACACAGACACAACTAGGTGAGTACTTCTCAACAGCTTACTGACCAACCAGTAGGTATACTTTAGCCCTGAATAAAATCCAGGGTTTAAGTAAAACTCAATGTATATATGCTGAGGGATTGGGTACACCTCTTGGAATATATAATTAAAATTCTATACAGTATATCCCTTTACGAAAATTGTAACTTCACGCATTATTTACCAGAGTTTACCTAGGGGCCACAAGGTAACTTTACTTAGTGGCCTCGACGAGGACAGGAAGCCAGTGGCTTGTCAAAGTTCCCCCCCCCCACATTTGCCCATAAATTTTAAAATCCAAATGGAAAAAAATCATAAATGAATTTTGGCATTTACTGCTTTGGTGGGTAGACTGTTCCACGGGTTTATAACCCTGTCGGTGAAAGAGCATCTTCTGTTCTCAGTCTTATATTGTGGCTTGTTGAGCTTGAAACCATTGCTCCTTGTTTGTGTTACATCTCATCTTTTGAAGAAATTATCCAGATCAACATCCTCCAAATTGTTCAGTATTTTAAAATTGTCAATGAGATCTGCCCTGCCATGCCTGGTTTGCAGTTTTGTTAGCCCTGTGGCCCTCAACCGCTCCTGGCACAAGAGTTGACTTTTCTCTGGAATTATTTGGTTGCCCGGTGTTGCACATTTTCTAGAGCAGCTATGTCCTTCTGAAGATGAGGTCTCCATGCTTGGTTACAGTAATCCAAATGAAGGCACATCAGAGATTTATACAATTGAATCACGACCCTCTTTTACTTAAAGTCAAAGATACGATTGATTATTCCAAGTGTTTGGTTAGTTTTTTTTAACTGCTGCTCCTACCTGTTGTGCAACTTTCATTAAATGGTGCATTTTGACTCCAAGATCCTTTTCTTCATTAATCTGCTGCAAGGTAATGTCATTAATTTGGTAGTTGTAACGTGGGTTGTTATGCCCCACATGTAAGGTCTTGCATCTGTCGATATTAAAACTCATTTGCCAGGATTATGACTATTTGTGGAGGGCATGTAGATCTCTTTGGAATGTCTCAATATCATTTTCATTATATGACTAGACACCCACACTAGCCCAAGCTGTCTCCTTCACACCAAGGAAACTCCCACAAGTGATAATTCTTAATCAAATGTGATCATCTATTAAACTTATGTAAGTAAAAATTCAGCACGAAGTGCTTCGTAACATCGCTAATCACACTTAAACTAATTTGGAAGAGTCACATGCTCTTCATTCTGAGAAGTTTAGAAATTATCTGTAAAGGTTAATTTGACATTTAAGAACCAATTACAAAGTTAAAATACTAAACATTTCGTAGACCTTTCAAGGTAGGAGTTAGTGGTAATGACCAGTCCATTAAGTTTAAATTACAATATCTTAACTAGATCAATTAAGTGTTTTAGAAGCATTAATGTTCCACTTGGCGACAAGTGAACTAGATATACACAGCTACAAGTTTATTGTCGTATGCACACGAAGACTCACAATAACTGGCTGAAGAAAGGTTGACCAAACCACACACTAGAAGATCAAGAGACGACGACGTTTCGGTCCGTCCTGGATAATTATAAAGTCGATTGTGATGAGACGAGTTGTTGTTGTTTTAGATTTAGCTACTCAGAACGAAGTATCCATGTAGCACGGGCTATGGTGAGCCCGTAGATGAGACGAGGGAGGCACAGGCATAAGTAAGGCAAGAGATTGATTGATTAATGAAGATTAAGCCACCCAAAAGGTGGCACGGGCATGAATAGCCCGTAAGTGGTGGCCCTTTTGAGCCATTACCAGTATCAATAGATGATACTGGAGATGTGTGGAGGTGCGACTGCACCCTACCTGACGGGAGATGTTTCTCGTATGTGGGAAGAGAGAGGTGAGGAGGAGGAAATATTAGAGGACGGTAAGAGCAAGACGAAAGGTACGGAAGGAATAGGCGTAATAAAGGGTGTAATAATAGGAATAAGAATGGGAACATAAGAAAAATAAAGTATAAAAAGGATGGGCAGACTTATGTTAGGTCACGATTTTTAAAAAGTTTAGAACATTTGAGTGTGTACTGTGAGAGGGAAGAGTCAAAAGAAACAAAGCCAGGACTAAGGTACATGTTGGGTAGGTTGTGTATCAAAGCCTATTCGACAAGACGGCGTCTGTGAAGAGTAGAGACAGGAAAGATTATTTTAGAAGCAGACCAATCAACAGGATTATTAGAATCCCTAACATGACAGAAGCGAGCATTGTTTGTGTCTGTAGACGTAACACTTCTTTAGTGTTCCTTAAGTGTGCCATTTAGTGTACGGCGAGTTTCACCAAAGTATTGTTGTACTAACACATAGCCTTTATTGTCGTACTAAAAATTATGATATCAATGGAAGTACATTGGATAAATTATTATGTCTAGACGAAATTATGATATCCATAGAAGTACCCTGGATAAATTATGATATAGAAATACACAGAAGAAATTATGATACCAATAGAAGGACGTACAAGAAATTATATCAGTAGAAGGACCCAGGAAATATCCAACTGAACAACGTAGTCTTGGCGCTTTCTCCTGATAGTTCCCTTCCCTTTAGGGTTGAAGGGGGTTGCCTCGTTGCCTTTCCGGCGAGTAAGTTTTGCATTACCATACAAACAGCTCCTCCAGGACCCTCGCTGTATCGTGCCGGCGTGAGCAGCATTTTGTTAATCAAGAGTTGTGGTAGAAGCCAGTGCTTAGAGAGGCGTTGTATCTCCCGGAGGTCGCATGTTCCATAACAGCAATCTTTTTGTACGCAACAGAAGTATAGCCAAACACAGCAGTCACAGAAGTATAGCCTAACACAGCAGTCACAGAAGTATAGCCTAACACAGCAGTCACAGAAGTATAGCCAAACACAGCAGTCACAGAAGTATAGCCTAACACAGCAATCACAGAAGTATAGCCTAACACAGCAGTCACAGAAGTATAGCCTAACACAGCAGTCACAGAAGTATAGCCT